GGCACGGGTACCCGTGTCGGGGTCGCGGTCACTCTACGCTGCACCGGCTCCTCAGGGCCCGCAGCCGTCTGAGCTTGGCGCAGGGCTGCAGGAGGGAGGCTCGAGGGTCCGCCCCGGCTAGTGCCGCCGCCGCACGAGCAGGCCCCTGGCCTGCTTCGACCCTGCCGGAGGACGCAGGACGACAGACGGAGTGTGAAGGCCGCGACTCTGGACTCGGCTGCCCACCGTCCAGGGGTAGAGCGAGGGTTCCAAGGAGCTGAGCGGGGGAGCGCGACCCTGTGGACACAAAGCGGGCTGAAGACATCGGACACGCAGATGGGTCATTTCAGGTCCTGTCCTTGCCAGGAGCGGACGGACAGACGACGACGGGAGAGTGACCGTCTACTTAGCGTCAGGTTCTGTGCTAGGATTAAAGCAGAGGGAACTTCAGTGTTATGCCCTTGAAGATTTAAACTGGTCTGGTTGGAAGAATGGCTGTTATCGCTCCTGATTTTCCAGAAGGTCAAACATCTTAATCTGGGTTTGGTGATGTGCAACTTTGGCGGTTGCGACTCCTTTTAGATTTTTTAGTCTGGTCTGTTGGGCCTAGTGCAGGAGGTTAGTTCAAAACGGTAGCCTCTTAAGATTCTTGTTTTAACTCTAGGTACTGGGGAAACAACACAGGGATGCCCGGCCCAGTGCCTGCCCAGTGGGGCTCATGTCCTGGGGTGGGGGCCAGACCACACACCTCCTGGAAAGGGAACTGCAGTTTGTTAGAGATGAGAAGAGCATGGGGAGAGTGGAAGGGTGGGAGCAGAGATGTAACTGGGGTTCAGAGTAAGCCCCCTGGAAACCCACCCTGGGGGTAGGCCAGGAATGGTGGGTCCCTGGTCAGATGGCTGGGGCCCTGGAGGTCCCGGAGACCAGGGACGGAGGACCGCAGGCATGGGGGAAGTGTGGGTGGGTTCCACCTCACCAGGAAAGTTGGAAGAGACAGAGGGATATCCAGGATCCCTCGGGTTTGGCTGAGCTCCTGGGAGTATGGAGGGGTCACTTCCTGAGATGGGATGGCTCAGGGGTGCTGGGTTTGGTGAAGAAAATCAGGGGTGTCATTGGGCCAAGCTGCGTTTGAAGCGTTTTTCCTTAGGTTGCAGTTGCATGGGCTCAGCGGGTAGGAGAAACTCCTTTAAAGCCTGATTGGGGGTCGACCCCGTGGCTCACTCGGGAGAGTGCGGCACTGAGAGCGCAGCGGCGCTCCCGCCACGGGTTCAGATCCTATATAGGGATGGCCAGTGCGCTCAGTGGCTGAGCGCGGTGCAGGCGACACCAAGCCGAGGGTTGCAATCCCCTTACCGGTCACAAAAAACACAAAAAAAAAAAAAAAAAAAAAAAAAAAACCTGATTGGAAAGAGCAGGGAGGCCGGAGGAGGTCTAGGGGCCAAGTTGGCGGGTAAGGGGGTGGCCGGTATGGAGGTCCCACCAGCCTCTGCGCTAGCTAGGAACACTTTACCATGGTTGGGAACAGCTGAAGTGGCTGAGTCTAAGGGCGAGGAGCTTTCCCTGGGCACCCACTACTTTGAATCCACTGGCTTCTGCCTCCTGTCCAGCCCAGCCTAAAGGAGGAGGCCCTGACTACCCCCAAACACAGTCAGGAGCACCCTGCACTCACCCACCATAGGGTCCTCATGGGTGGAGTGACATGGGATCTGGGGCTCTTGGCACAGGCAGGGCCGAGGGTTGGGTCTGGGAGAGGAGGAGACCTGAGCCCAGTGCCCCATGTTGGTGCGTGGAGGTGTTTGAAGACCCAGAATCCTGAGGTCAGACCACAGGCTGGGCCTACCCATGCAGGGAGCTTTCTGGGCCTCCAAAGGGTCCTGTCCCACACAAGTGTACGTCTGTGGGCATCGAAGCTGGGAGCTGGAGGGGCCAGGTTGGAGCAGGGCCAAAGGGTCTGCCTGCTCACCTAGCCTCACCCGCACTGCCCCCAAGGCATCCCCAATGCTCTGGAGCTGGTTGAGCCAGCTCCTCCCTGGGCTGTGGGTGGCACCTGCTGTCACCTCCTTAGGGGAGTTGTTTCTCTCTGTTTCTAAGGAAGAGGATGGAGGAGGAAGCGGGTGGCCCTGATACTTGTGGCACATGTATGCATGCACCCTAGTGTTCACTCGGGACATTGCAGGGTGCGTGCTGGTCGGTCCACACCACAGCTGAGCCCGGTCCAGGGCAGCATGCATGTGCATGAGCATCACTGGCTCCCGGCACGGGCGAGCCTGTGAGGGTGCACGTCCCGCGGAACGTTCAGAGTCCAGGGTGGGCGGCCTGCACGGGGGCGGCGGGATGGTGTGGACAGCAGCCAAACAGCAGCCGTATTGTGGGTCTGCCTGTGGCCTGCTTCTCCGTGTCTTCTCCTGTCTACAGTGGTGAGAACAGGACAGGGTGACCCCCAAGGCCCTATCACATTGATTGGGGTCGAGCCCTCACCACTGACCAGCAGCCCCAACCCCATGTGCCCTTGGGTTGCACTGACACATCTGCTCCCGTCCTGAGTGGCTTCCTATTCCGATGGGCTGGCCCCCTGCCTCTCACACCCCCCACCCCCGGCGGGTGAGGGAGGGGCTACGTGATCACGCTGCTGTGGGGGCGGCAGTGGGCAGGTGGCTCCTCCTCTGGGGCCAGAGCACAGAAGGCCTCGTGACCAAACGGGTGTGTGGTCAGTGGCCCAGGGCAGCGGGGGAAGGGAATCTCACTGATATGGGTTCATGGCCCCAGCGTGGGGGTGTCCAGAGCTGCACCTGCTGGACTGGTCCCCTCCCCATCCTGCCTGCTGAGCCTCCTCCCAAGGCCTTGCTGGGGGCAAATCTGAGGTCTTCATGGCAGGACTCCTGTACCTGCCCCTGGAGTTCTGGGGCATCCTCTGCGTGCTGCCTAGGTTCCCAATGCATCGATGGTGATGCTGGTGGGGGGCAGGTAAAGGGGGCACCCGGGGCTCTGCCAGAGTAGGTGACAATGCCCTTGAACCTGGGGTTTTGCCTTTGTTTGGAGACCCTGAGACACAAAGTGTGTGAGGATCACAGGACATGGTATCATGCACCAATGAAGAGGTTTTGTTTTTTTTGGCAGCTGTCAGTACAGGGATCCGAGCCTTTGACCTTGGTGTTACCAACACCACGCTCTAACCAGCTGAGCCAACCAGCCAGCCCTTGTCCATTTTTAAATTGGG